GTTTACTCCTCCTACTGTGCTCTTTTTTTTTTGTGGCCTTTGTGAAGTGACTGTACATTTATAACAGCAGAAAGTGTTTCCTACATGAGATGAGCCAGCTATGATCCTCCCATTTTTAGCCAAGCCACTTTTATCATTACATCTCAAGTGTTATGCAAAACTCAAGATACAGAGAGTAAGTACACTGCTCCAAAACAATTAAAGGAACACTTTGAAACACATCAGCTCTCAATGGGGTAAAAAATCTCATGCTGGATATCTATACTGATATGGACTGGGTAATGTGTTAGGAACGTAAAGATGCCCCATTGTTTGATGGAAAAGAAAATGATCAACCTACAGAGGACTGAATTCAAAGACACCCTGAAAATCAAAGTGAAAAAATAATGCAGCAGGCTAGTCTATTTTGCTGAAATTTCATTGCAGCAACTCAAAATGGTACTCAGAAGTTTGTATGGCCCCCACGTGCTTGTATGCATGACGTCAGGGCATGCTTCATATGAGACAACGGATGGTGTCCTGGGGTATTTCCTCCCAGATCTTGACCAGGGCATCACTGAGCTCCTGGACAGTCTGAGGTGCAACCTGGCGTTGTCAGATGGACCGAAACATGATATCCCAGAGGTGTTTTTTATTGGATTTAGGTCAGGCGAGCGTGGGGGCCATTCAATGGTATCAATTCCTCATCCTCCAGGAACGGCCTGCATACTCTCTCTACATGAGGCGGGGCATTGTCATGCACCAGGAGGAACCCAGGACCCACTGTACCAGCATAGGGTCTGACAATGGATACCTAATGGTAGTCAGGGTGCCATTGTCTAGCCTGTAGAGGTCTCTGCGTCCTTCCATGGATACGCCTCCCCAGACCATTACTGACCCACCACCAAAACGGTCATGCTGAACGATGTTACAGGCAGCATAACATATTCCACGGCTTCTCCAGACCCTTTCACGTCTGTCAGGGCTTCATTTTCATTTCTTAATTTTTCAAAAAGCTGTGAAAAAATTGCAGCTTCAAAAAAAGTCACCATGCCTCTTACTAAATACCTTAGACTGTCTACATTCCAAAAAGGTTCATTTGGGGGTTATTTGTACTGTCCTAGCATTACCATAGCTTGTAGACTCTAAACTTTCACACAGACTAAATAATATACACTGATTTGGATTATTTTACCAAATAAATGTAGCAGTATAAATTGTGGCCTACATTTTTATAACAGAAACGAAGAAAACCCCTTTTTTCAAAATTTCTGGTCTTTTTTTGTTTATTTCACAAAAAATTAACAAGCCCAGTGGTGATTTACATGCCACCAAAAAAAGCTGTCGCAAATAAAATGATACAGATTTAAATTGGGTACATTGTTTTATCACTGAGTAGTTGTCATTCAAAGTGTGACAGTGCGGGAAAACTTAAAAATGGCCTGGGCGGGAAGGAGGGAAAGTGTCTGCTATTGAGGCAGTTAGGAATGCTCAATTTTATATTCTTTCTTAGAAAATTGAAATTCATGCATTTGACCCAGTGGGAGAGATTTACTAAAATTGGAGCACTCAGAATCTGGTGCAGATGTGCATGGTAGCCAATCAGCCTCTAACTTCAGCTTGTTCAATTAAACTTTGACAAAACCTGGAAGCTGGATGGTTTCTGCGCCAGACTTTGCACTCTCCAGTTTTGGTAAGTCAACCCCTGTGTCTCCAAACCCATATTCTACAAAAACATCTTTCATTACGTTTTCTACCCCACAATTTTGCATACTGAAATCTGAATGGTTACTATCACGTGCTGCTCATAATTGCTCTTGTAAATTTAAAAAAGCAAATCAAAGTAAAATCAGTCACTAAACTGCTAATAATGTCCAGGAAACAGTCATCTCTGGCAAATGCAGATTGCAAAAAAATGCTCATCAATGCTAATCTTGGTTAGGGTTGGAAATAACCATTTTAAGGCCTAGTTCACGTGAGCTTCCTCCTTTTGGATGAAACCGTCTGTTCAGACAACATTCAGTAAGCTTTTTGGATTTTTCTCAAAGCTTTTAACCACTTGCCCCCCTGAGGATTTACCCCCCTTCCTGACCAGGCCATTTTTTGCGTTACAGCGCTGCGGTACTTTAACTGACAATTGCACGGTCATGCAATACTGCACCCAAGTGAAATTTACGTCCTTTTTTTCCCACAAATTGAGCTTTCTTTCAGTGGTATTCAGACTGCATTTTTTAATTTTTGCGCTAAAAAACAAAATTCCTACGATTTTGAGAAAGAAACAATATTTTTGACTTTTTGCTATTAAACCCGTCCAGTAAAACAAATTTTAAAAAATCAAATTTCATCATAAATTTGGGCCAAAATTTATTCCACTATATGTCTTTGCTTAAAAAAAAATCCCACTACATGTAAATTAATTGGTTTATGTGAAACTTATAGCATTTAAAAATGGCGGCATAGATACTGGAATTTTTTTTTTTTTATATCTTACTAGTAATGACGGCGATCAGCAAATTATAGTGGGACTGCAGCGGGCACTCTGACACTGACTTGGTATCACTGACATCCCCAGTGACACCAATACAGTGATCAGTGCTACAAAAAAAAAAAAAAAAAAGCACTGACACTGTACTAAGGGCACTGGGCAGGAAAGGGGTTAACATGAGGGGTGATCAAAGGGTTAACTGTGTTCTGTTTCACTGTAAGCTCTGTGTGTGTGCTTCACTGTAATTACACTGCTTTGGATGGCTGTGCTGTGCACAGCCATCCAAAGCAGTGTGCACAAGCTGACAGGGAGGAGAACTGTATTGTTTACATACAGTTCTCCTTCCCATCGGAGATGCTTGGTAATCACCGGGAGCCAGGACCCGGTGATTGATAGCAGTGGCTGTGAATGGAAGATTAGGTAGGGCGCGTGCGCACCCCCTACCCGGAAATGCAAAAATCGCATATATACGTGATTTTGTGCACCCGTTCTGCCCTGTAGCAGTATATCTGCTATAGGACGGTTGGGAAGCGGTTAAAGCACCCTTTCAAGTGCTGCATCTGGAAGTTTGCTTGAAAGCCTGCGAACTGCGCTCAAATTTAAAGATATTTGTTGAATAATCCCCAACAAGAGATGAATGATGATGCATTAAAAACTCTGAGAATAAGCTTGAGGTTTTGGTAAAAGCTTTGTAAATGATTGCTGTACACATTGTTCTTCAGACTGTTTCTACAAGCTGAAGCCTTTGTGAACAAGCCAGTGTTCAAGAGTGTGGGAGAAGTTCATGATATGTACGGTCAACAGAAGATCCTCCTGTTCAAAAAACCCTTTTTGCTGAAGTATGTCTAAAGTCAAGCATGTTTTTTTGTTTAGATACAGTGGTGAATGGTTAGAATCCATCAGATTTGTATTGCTGTCTGTCTCAGTTGGTGAGATCCATTCTCTGTCTTGGTCCCGTTGACCAGGTTCACTGGTACCAAATAGTAATCATAAATTTTGGCCTGTAGAAAGGCAATAAAGGGATCAATTTTCAATGGGGACACATATTTCAATAGCAAATGTCTAAGAGCATTTTCTTCACTTTCAAATTCTTCCAACTTCCTGTTGTGTTTACAGGACAGCAAGGGAAATCTCTCTAAGCACAGATTAAAAAATAAAACCAGTAAAAAAAAAAAGACTTTAAACCCTCCCTTCCTCTATTCAAAGCAAAAAAAGGTTTAGGCTTTAGCCATACTTTAATCAAAATCATTAAATTAAAGTTGAACTTCACTCTCTCAATCAACATTGACTGTTTTTAATCCGTATGCTGCCAGCATTGGTAAATGGATAGGAAAGTATATCATATTAACTTTTTTTTTTTAACATATATTCAATTACTTTCTGGGTTCCGTGCCTAGGCAAATGATTGCACACATCCAAGCGGTTTTCAGGAGGGGAGGGAGGTTCTCAACTCAGCCAGTGTCTGAGCTAAGGGCAGATAGATTCCAGCAAGCAAATGCTACATGACTCATGTGCCCTTACTCAAGATGGCCACTGCCAGAAATGCTAGGGGGAGTTTTTAAAATTATTTTTTACCAAAATAAAGCATGGAGACATGGATGGATGGGTGAGTGTGCTTTGAATATTAACCGCTTTCCCGCTGCCCTATAGCAGATATACTGCTACAGGGTGGCAGGGGTGTGCAAAATCTTATGTACATTATTTTGCATTTCCGGGTAGGTGGCGCATGCGAGCCCTACCTGTGCCACTATTTGTGGCTGTCAATCACTGGGTCCTGGCCTGTGATTACCCGCTGGTGCCTGGTAATTACCGTGCACAGCACAGCCATCCAGAGCAGTGTGATTACAGTGAAGCACACAGACATGGCCCCCTGATCATTGTATTGGTGTCACTGGGTATGTTAGTGACACCAAATCAGTTCCCCCCAGTGTCAGAATGTCCACCGCAGTCCCGCTATAAGTCGCTGATTGTTGCCATTACTTCTAAAAAAAAAATAAAAAAATTCCAGTATCTATATCGCTATTTGTACATGCTATAACTTTTATGTAAACCAATTAATTTACACATCTTGGTGTTTTTTTTTTTTTTTTTTTTTAGGAAAGACATGTCACAGAATACATTTTGACCTAAATTTGAAGTACCGTATGTTCCGGCATATAAGACGACTTTTTTTACTTAAAAACATACCCCAACAATTGTGGGTCGTCTTATACGCTGGGTATAGAATGCTGGATGTGCGGTAATACTGTATGGTAGCTTCAGCTACATACAGTGTACCGCGCTGAGCCAATCACGGCAAGCGATGTATTCTATTAATGAATACAGAGCCTGCTCGGATTGGCTGAAGTTGTAACATCATCAGCCCGCCTTTCTGACACAGCCAATCCAAGCAGGCTCTGTATTCATTAATAGAATATATCACTTGCCGTGATTGGCCCATATGACGTCCTCCCATTCTCCGCACATGCGTGGTGATGCGCTGTGTCCCTCGGACACAGCTATCACCGATCACGGAAAGAGCCGAAGATGTCGGCTCGGTCATGTGATCAGCTGTGTCCAATCACAGCTGATCACATGTAAAAAGGAAAATGCAGGTTATCGGCATTTCTCTCCTCTCGAGCTGTCATGCTGATAGCTTGAGAGGAGAGCCGGTAATCGGCTTTCCGCGGAGGGGACATGTACACTGGTGATCAGGGCACTGATGATCAGTGTGCCCTGATGATCAGTGTAGCCCCAGCAGTGCCAGCTGTCAGTGTCCATCAGTGCCACATCAATGCCACATATCAGTGCACATCTGAGCTGCCTTTCAGTGTCACCCATCAGTGCAAGTCAGTGCTGCCAATCAGTGCCCATCAGTGATGCCTGTCAATGCCCATCAGTGCCGCCTATAAGTGCGCATCATTGCCGCCCATCAGTGCCATCTACCAGTGCCCATCAGTGCCACCTATTTCATATGGGTACAGCGTTGCATGACCGTGCAATTGTCATTCAAAGTGTGACAGCGCTGAAAATTGGCCTGGGGAGGAAGTGGGTATAAGTGCCCTGTAGGCTAGGGGTTAAATGGTGTTGCCTCAGAAGGGGGGTAGTCTTATACGACGAGTATAGCCCAAAACCTATGTTTTAACTGGAAAATTAGGGGGTCGTCTTATACACCCAGTCGCCTTATACGCCGGAAAATACGGTAATTTGATTTTTTTTAAAATATTTTTAAAAGTAAAAAATATTGTTTTGTTCTCAAATTTGTCGGTCTTTTTTTTTTTTTATAGCGCAAAAAAAAAACATGCAGGTGATCAAATACCACCAAAAGAAAGCTTAATTCGTCGGAAAAAAATGGATGTAAATTTCATTTGGGTGCAGCGTTGCATGACTACTCAATCGTCAGCTAACGTAACGCAGCGCCGTAATTCAAAAAAGGGGCCTGGTCAGGAAAGGGGGTAAATCCTCAGGAGGGCAAGTGGTTAACAATGAATTACATAGAATGTTTGATTTGTGGTGCTCAGATGCAGTGCAGTTCCACTTTAAGTAGTTTTTTTTATCTTTTAACAGTAACATCTTTAGTATACATTTTTGCATTCTTTCACTGAATCTCTGCAGTAAAACTGACCTGGATTAAAGGACATTAACATTATATTAATGTTAGACTTACCCAGGTTGGGAGGGCCCAATAGTGAATATACATTTTCATTCAAAATAGGTCATAGATGTGTTTGGGATAAGTTGCCACCATCCGCTTTTATATAGCTGACAAGCATCTGCAATGTGCACTGCATGAGGAAATTATTAGTAAAGAAAGTCATGCATTTAACAAAACCTTAAACTATGAAAACAAACCCAGGGATTTAATCAGTTGTGAAGCAGAAAGAACAAAAAAAAGTTTCAACCTTACTGGGAAAAAAAAATTTAATCATGGAAGGGTATCCCTTGAGCCAGAGTCAGCTTGTAGAACTGTATAATCTGTAGGTGGGTAGTCATCCTCATACCACCAAACATTTCCTGCTGTGTTTTTCTATTTCAATGTTTTTTATAAATTTTTAAACAGTATAAAAGAGAGGCAATAAAACACGCCCACGCAGGGGCTATCAATTGCACGGATAAAAAAAATGCAAAATAAAAAAAAAAGGAAAAACAGTGCTCTAATGCCAACAGGGCAAAAGGTACGCCCACACAGAGGCTATCAATGGCACATAAGTTACAAAACATTACTGTAACTTTTAACAATGGAAACCAGCGCAAACCCACATGGTCAATTACATTACTCAGCTTAAAAAAACATTAATGTGCTGATAAAGATATATATAATGAATTATATATAAATAAATTGATATAAAAAAATATATATAAACATTAGAATCATAAGTCCAGTGACAAAAAAACAAAGTGACAAAAAAAATCCAAAAAAAACTCAGAAAATATATATATATAATTACAGTCCCGTGACAAAATTAAATCAAATTAAATTATAATTTGGTTCTTCCGTGTTACTGATCCCTTCACCATCCACCAGTGCAGAAATCAACATTAGCCGCACTCACCAGATATTGGTGAGTCACACGCCTTTCAGGATTGTTAAGGGCTCCTGGACCCCCTTTACTTTGTGTGAGACCTCCAAGTGCTGTTTCCTCTTATGTCTAGGTACCTCTTCTGCTTACTCCTCTCACCGAATCCCCCAAGGAAAATCAGGAAGAAGAAAAGACCATAGCGTGATACCGTAGTAATTTCTCCTCAAATTAATCTCTCCAGACCACTCACATTCTTTTGCGGGATATAGCCCGCCTTTTATTCAAAACAACAATGATTTTCTTCTAAAATGATCCACTTTTCATGTACATCGATTTTTGTAAGAGACCCCACAGTTTAGTGTACAGCAGGATGGCAGACCTCAGCTACAGACTCATCTACTAGGCTAAGATGGCCCCTTGGAACGCACCGCCGGCGTGCGCTCCACTCACCGGAAATGACGTCAGACGACGGACCAGGCAACCGGAAGTGCGTCAACGCGTTTCGCCCCACCCACAGGGCGCTATCAAGACGCTCATTACCACTTCCAAGCCGCTTATAAAGCTTTGGGAGATCCCTCCCACTGATTACTCTGGCACAAAAACCTGGATACAAGCATGTCAATCACCGCCATCCATCTGCATACCCATGTGGGGTCCCTTTACATCAGGAACCATTACAAGAAATACATTACTTAAAAGATACATTACTTAAAAAACATACTTTACTTTAAAAAAACATACTTTTAATCCTAAGTCTTCAACCCCACACACAAGGGAAAAGACCAATACAAGTAAATGTAAATGAAAAAAAAAATATATAAAAAAATAAAATTAAAATAGAAATAAAAATAAAAATGAATAAAAAAATAAAAATAAAAATAAAAATAAATGAAAATAAATATAAAAATAAAAATAAAAATAAAAATAAAAAAAAAAAAAAAAAAAAATAAAAATAAAAAAAAAAAAAAAATAAAAAAAAAAAAAAAATAAAAATAAAAATAAAAATAAAAAAATAAAAAAATAAAAAAAAAATAAAAAAAATAAAAATAAATAAAAAATAAAAAAAAAAAAAAAAAATAATAAATAAAATAATAATAAAAAAATAAAAAATAAATAAATAAAAAAAATAAAAATTAAAAATAAAAATAAAAAAAATTAAAATTAAAACTAAAATAAAATAAAAACCTATTCATGAACACGCACTACGGACCTATAACTGGATATTACCAATTCGACAAGAAACAATTTATATCAATATCTACATTCAACCCATTAGGATACAATGTACCCATTTGATAAATCCACTTTGTTTCATTTTGGGACACATTTATTACCATATTACCTCCCCTCCAGGGGGCTTCTACTCTATCTATCCCACAAAATTTCAACGATGCCGGATCTCTATTATGATATCTTCTAAAATGATATGATAAACTGTGATGTTTGAATCCCTTCTTTATGTTCCTAATATGTTCTCCCAATCTGGTGGCAAGTTTCCTAGTTGTTCTCCCTATATACTGGAGCTTGCAGGAGCACTCCAGCAGATAGGTCACATGCGTACTATCACATGATATAAATTTATTAATCTTATGGGATCCTCCATTATAACAGGATTGAAAATCCTTTATTTGCTTCTTTTTATCCCCTTTCAGGGTTCTACAAGCCAAACACCTCCCACATTTGAAAAAACCAGCCCTATCCAAAAAAGTAACCAATTTTTTAGGTACATCTGGAACATTTTTAACAAGTCTAGACCTTAAAGTAGTCGGTTTCCTATATATAAACAAGGGTTTACTAGGTAACACTTTCCCAAGCGTTTCATCCCTCATCAAAATAGACCAATATTTTTTAATTATGTTTTCAACTAATTTGTATTGCTTAGAATATCCTGTGATAAAAGCCACATCCCCCAACTTATTTTTACTTTCTTTTTTCTTAAGAAGTTCATTTCTACTAATCTTTTTAACCTGTTCTAATGCAACAGCCAAATTTTCTTCTCCATATCCTTTCTCCCTAAACCTTTGCAATAACACCTCAGCCTGTTCCAAAAAAACACCTTCATCATCACAATTACGTTTGATCCTAATAAGCTGACTCTTAGGGATGGATTTTAGCCAATTTTTATGGTGGCAACTAAAACTTGGGATATATCCATTCCTATCTACTTGCTTGAAATATGTCTTGGTGTAGAACCTGTCATCTTTCTTGTAAATTGTCAGATCCAAAAAATCCACTACCTCCTCACTAATATTTTTAGTAAATGATATGTTATAAGAATTAATCCCCATTTCTTGGATAAACTCCTCCAGTGTCTCTCTTGTACCTTTCCAAATTATAATGATGTCATCGATAAATCTTCTATACACCAGCAACTCTGTAGTTTTTTTTCTTGAAAATAGCTTCACTTTCCCACCTACTCATGAACAAGTTTGCCACCGATGGTGCATACTTGGCCCCCATGGCCACGCCCCTTGCTTGCCTATAATATTTCCCAGAGTACCAAAAGTAGTTATGTGACATAGCTAAATTTAAACTATTAAGTAAAAATTCAGTTTGCTGTGATTTTAAACCTGCCTTAGCCTCCAAGGCCCATCTAACAGCTCCTAATGCATCCGTATGCCTTATGTTAGTGTACAGGGAATTAACATCCACACTAGCCATCACACATCTCCCCTCTTCCCTAATTCCCTTAATCAGATTAATCAGATCACCACTATCCCTCAGATACGCTGGAAACATAGGAACTAAAGGTTGCAGAAATTTATCCACATATTCACCCAGTCTACAAAACAATGAATCTATCCCACTAACAATGGGTCTCCCGGGGGGTTTATTAAGATCTTTGTGAATTTTTGGTACTGTAACTGACTATAACAACTAAATGCAGCAGGCCAGTCACACCAAAACAGAGAAAGAATGAAAAAAGAAGAAAGGGGAAGAAAAAGAAAGAGAGAGAAAGAAAAAAAAAAAAGAGAGGGGCAAGGGGCAGGGGTCCAAGAGCGCCAATACCGAACGCCATTACATCCCCAGATTAGCCGGTGAGAGTGTGGGAAAGGCATATTGCAATTACGGCTCCCATATTTTCAAAAATTTATGTTGGGAGTCGTTGCGGATACTCGACATCTGTTCGTTGAGCATCATAGTGGTGATACGATCCCGCACCCCCTGAAGAGGGACAACCGGACTCTTCCAGGCCTGAGTAATGTTCTAGTGGCCGATAAAAACAGATAGGAAGCCAACTTCTGCTGATGAGCCAAGAGGCCCGGTATGGGGCAATGAAGCAAAGCATACCGAGCATCCCGGCGGATGGAGAGATGGAACAAGGTGAAAAGGAGACCAAACACACGAGACAAAAAACGAAACAGTCTCGGGCATGACCACCAGATATGCAATACATCTCCAC